TACGGTAAAATTTTTTTTTGTTGTGATTTATTTATTTTTGTTTTTGTTTTTTTTTTGTTGTTGTAAGGATGAACAATAGATCACTATAAAACTATCCCTAAATCTTCACTACAATGGAAGATTGAAAGAATAAATATGAAGTTTTAAACAAAAATGAAGGATTTACCTTTAAATAGTGAAGAAAAAGAGAAAAGGAAGAATGATTCGCCAGAAAAATTGGTGGTCGCTGGAGATTTAACGGACTAAGAAGAAATAGGATGCCGGCGGTGAGATGGTGATGAGGAAGAAGGAATAAGGAGTGAGAGTTGAAGGAAGAAGAAGGAAAAAGAAGTTGGTGATGGTGGGGGTATGATGAGTTGATGGGTTTGTGGGGTTGTGAGAGAGAGAGAGAGAGAGAGAGAGATGATGAGGATGAGAGGTAGAGAGAGAGTGTGGTTGGGAAAGTGATAGTCAAAGAGGGTCCAGGGTTAGGTTTTGTTGAAATCAATTATTTATTTATTTTACTGAATGTATGTATAATAATTAGAGTATTGACAACAAATTGAACTCTGGCCGATTAAGAGCTCCAATCGTTGTCACTGGGTTGAATTCAGGTCCAATAGGCATTCGGATGCTCTGTTCAAACACTTATTTAGATGTGTATGGGTACGGCAATGTCTTTGTAAGTAGTTTTTCAGCCTACCAAGTCCAAATACATGAGAATAAGCCATTAATCAATGAAACCACATAAAAGAGCTTCTATACATATGATATCTTCTATCTGCGACACTGAACACTTGCAAATGTTTACCTCAACTGGAAGACCTTGTGGATCAACCAACTAAGAAGGTAAATTCCATTGTCTTCGTTTTTTTTTTTTTTTAATTAATTTAGCTCCCATACAAATAGGTTTTCTTTTTTAGTGGGGCAAAATAACTAATACAACCTCATCCTTTAACTTGACATCATACAACAGGGAGATTCTTTCTATATTGTCAAATTTCCAAATATGTCGATTGTCAAGTTTCAGATTCATAAATTCTTTAATTGTGAAAAATTGATCACATTCATCTTATTAAATTGTTGACCAAAATTTGAAAATTTTCAACTACACAGAGCTTGTCTTATTCCATGCAAGAATTTGTTTTGATACCCCTTAGGCTTCAACCATCTAATTTTTTCTTCAGTGAACTCCATATTCAATTGCAATGCACAAAGCAGAAATTGAAAGATTACATTATTTCAAAAGATGAATGCATATAAGCAAAAGATCTTACAATAAATATATCATTTCAATACCCATATTACATTATTCAACAAATCCACAATTACCTTTCATCTCAGAAATCCCAATTCACATTTAACTAAAACTAAGCAGATACAAAATCTTCAAAAATCAATTCCCTATTAAAAAAAAAATGAAAGAACATATCTCAACAAAGGTAGAATTCCAAAATAAGATATATATCACAGAAACTAGATTGGCATACAGTTTGGTAAATACAATCTGTTTCAAAAGAAGGTTCCACAGTTCAACACTTAAAATACTCATGTCTCGCAAGAACATGATAAACAACATTTTTCACTTAAAACAGATTATAAAATGAACACCAATAATTTTCTGGGTACCAATAAAAACAAATAATCTGCCACACAGTTCTCAGGCTATAAGTCCCGTTGGATCCAATACCGAACTAAGAGTCATCCTCAGGGTGGCACCTGGGCCTTTTCTCAAAGACGATCCGATTGAAGGTCACCTAGTTGTTTTTAAAGGTCTGTTCCTTACAATCGTTGAGCACTAGAGTCATCACGGCCCAACCCGGATCTGTTCCCTAGTGGCCAGAATCACCACACACAGTGGAATAATTTCCCTAGACTAAATACACACATGGTCCGATGGTCCCAATAATTAATACACATCAGTTTTGAAAAACATGGTAGTTCATCATTATAAACATGAGACCAAAACAAATAGTTTACAGTATGCCAAGTTCACACATGTTTCAGAAATAATTTGATTCTATTGATAATATAATACTTTATCAAAACAGTTTAGTCTTAAAACAACAATTTAATTTTTCAATAGTTCAGGGTAAGGGAACATTTATAAAAATACGTAGCATGAAACTACTCACCTGAAAACGAAATAGTATAATCCTCGAATAAAGTATGAAAGTCCAACTAGTGCCCTGAACCAAGTATAAAAATAGGATAAGATTTTAGAAATTTTTTATAATTGTATTTTTAGTATTTTTTACTTACTATTTTATTAGAAATTTTGCAGCTTTAGTATGCAAGAGCGTAAAAATATTAGATTTCCTAATTTAAGTTGATTTAGTTTTTCTAATTTTTATATAGTTGATTCGCCTCTAAGATTAATTGCATTTGGTTGCGTTTGGTCTCAACTTGAGGTCAAAACTTAATTAATTGTGACTTTAAGATAAAACAGAATTTCAAACAAGCCTTCCCAACCTATTCGCTAACTTTGAAAATTACAAAACCCACTCCACGCTATTCAAAAAATTCCAATAACCTCCAGATATGATCTAATATATCCTAAGTTTCAAACCCAATTGGTTTCACTTGATTTTCTTATCAAAATAATTATCTACAATTTATTATATCCAAACAGGTTGTTTTCTGCAGCACTTTAAAGAAATTGACGGTTCTCTTAATATACACGAGCAATCAATGCAAGACCAAAAACGTACGAAACTAAACTCATAACCGGTTCTGATGACACTAATTTGATAATTTTTGGATTTATACCCAAAGATTTGCACAATATAACTTTCATCATCGAGTGTTTGGATTAAAGCCGAAGTCTTAAGGACGGTCAAAATGGGGTGTCTACAGACTGCTAGAAACAACTTTGGAATTTTAATCTCCCCCCTAAATGGGCTCTTTTTTATTTGGAAAATTTTATATAGAATTTTTCCAGTTAAGGTCTTTGTAACTTTCATCATCGAGTAGAGACTGATCTTAGTTGCCCATGATGTTTAGCAAATGAGGAATCTGTTGAGCATTTTTGTTTTCAATGTCCATACTCTCAATATGTCTGGAGGGGCTCTCGGTTGGGTCTGGATTTTAATATTGGTGAAGTTGTGTTAGTCCAAGTATGGCTGGAAAATTGGTTTAGGATGCTCCAAATGAGGAAGCAGTTGTAGAATCAATTGAAGTCTGGTGGGGTCTCTGGGATCAAAGAAACAAAGTTGTTTACGAGGGGGTGGTTGATAATCCACATCAGGTTATTCAAAATATCAATCAACAAGTGTGGTGTCCCAATGATCAAGAATGCTGAAAACTTCAGGGATGGATTAATTCATCTAGCAGCCCTTCTTGTAATTCAGATAATGCTTTTACTGCTGTTAACAATATGTTTTGGCTGCCAGATCCGTGTTTTGACAGGATTTTGATTGATGGAGTATGGATGAAGCATACAAAACAAGCTGGAGTTGGATGGGTTGCTTTGGATAGTAGTGGTAATGTTGTTGCGTACAAACAATACACTTCTATGGCCCTCTCTGCGTTAATGACTGAAGTAAAAGCATGTTTTCAAGCTTTGCAATGGTGTGTCCAACAGCATGTCAAGGCTATCACTATCCTTACGGATTGTCAAGTGTTTATTCAGAAGTTTAAAAAGGTCGACACGGCAGATTGGGAGATTATGTATGTATATCCAAGGCTCCTAGGAAGGTAGTGAAAGCAGCACATGTAGCTGCTAAGATTGCCTTCCATAAGAGCTAACTACTGTTTGTTACTTTTCATATTCTATAATATTTTATCTTTTCTCAAAATAAAAAAAATAAAATAAAATAAAAAACTTTCAAAAATCAATTTTAAAAAATCAAAATTCAATCTAAATGAAGCCCGCCCATCATCTAGCACAATAGAGAAACTCCAGGGTTCATTTGATAGAACACGAGTAACAGTAATAAAAAGTGGAATGAAATAAAATTTTATTTTCTTCTATGTATTTGGTTATGATGTAACTTTCATGTCTATATATATATATATATATATTTATTTATAATTACTACAAAATTTTTTATATATTTTTTTTACATGAAATTAAAAGACTAGTTATCATATTAATATGGATTGGGCAAAAAAAATTAGGTTTCTTGCACTGTCCTAAACAAATGTTCAAATATAAGGTAATGCTATGGGTGTGTATCATATGCATGTCATAACATTTGTAAATTTGATTATTACAAATGTCATAACTCAATTTTATAAGGCCAGAGAAAGTAAATATTATATTTGCAAGTCAAAAAATAAATAAATATATACACACATATATATATGTATATAGTCCAGGCCTTTAACCATTACCTACAGTCTAAAAGTTGAAAGTCAAAACTCAACTTTTTTCATATACAAGAAACTTGGGAAGAAGACCTTTCTCATAAATTTAATATGAATGAATCATAATTTATTCACAGTAAAGTAGATGATAGAAGTCATACCAATGAGAGAGAGACAGTACTGAATCAATCAGAGGGAGCTCGAGAGAGAGAGAGAGCAGGGAGCTCCAAAGAGAGAGAGCAGGTAGCTCGAGAGAGAGAACAGAGTGTTGAACTCGCGAAGAGCGAGAGAGAGACAGCAGAGGGAGAAGGAGAAAGCATGAATGCAAAACACGGGGCTGGGGGGGTTAAATATAAGTTCTAAAATCGTGGTTGTGAACCACGATTTCACTTAAAGAAAAAATATTTACCCTAAAATCGTGGTTACAAATAGCGAGTTCATCATAAACTCGTGGTTATGAACAACGAGTTCAAAAGAAATCTATTCTTTGATGAATTCGTGGTTTCAAAAAGCGAGTTCAGCACAAAAATTTTTTGGGATGAAATCGTGCTTGTAAAAAGCGAGTTCAAAGGAAAAAAAATTTAATTAAACTCGCGTTTCGTAACAGCGAGTTTCAAATTTGGCAGGTTTCGCACGACAGGGGTGGAAAAGTGTTGAACTCACGATTGTGAAACGCGAGTTAGCTCATTTTGGAAATTCTTCCAAAACTAGGCTTAGTTTAAGAATTCCTTTATTATTTTGGCTTATTTAGGGAAATGCCCCCTAATAACCCTAATATAGCCATTGTTATGTTACAACTTAAAAGTCCAAGGTCTACACGCTCTACACCTGTCCAGAGCCAAGTGAAGCATTGGCTAAATGCCAGTAAATCTGTCGTGATCTACACGCTTTATATGTTCATATTGTATGCAACATGATGGTTAACCTTGACAAACTTGTGTCCACTATGTAATTACCTAACAATTGTTTGCATAGATCACACTACACATGACCAAGTTGTGAAATTAACATTCAGTGTGCAAGGGAAGGGCATTTAAAACTCAAGATGCCAGTGTTGTACTCGGGCAACTGTCCACAGTGCAGGCCAGGATGTCTCTATAATCCCGTGATATTCTGAATGAGTCGTAAACATTCCCATCCCTGCTTTTCTTGTACTCCAACAAAAGGTTTGAATGGTCGAATGCAGTGAGTTTTACGAATCCATAATCATGGTCTTTGAAGACACTCCACTTGGTTTGAAGGCTAGTGAAGTCCGCAAGGCTTGCTCCACCGCCCCCAGCAACTATATGAATTGTCCCATTCAAGCTGCCCTTATAATAGTGCTTCTCTTCATTCGTGCAAATGTTCTGTAGCAACAAAAACAAATACCACCACCAAAATGTTAGTTATAACTTGTAAGAGAGTAGAACAAGTTGATTTTATTTAAATCAACATCTGAAATATTTTATTTATTCCGTATTAAGTGAAAGCTTAACAAACCCCTGATGTTGTGAGAAAGACAAAATATTCTGCTATGATTTCTCAATAATCATTTCTTTAGTTATTTCTAATAGCAAATTTCTTGAACTTCCTTTTCCCTTTCAGTTTTATCCTTTCTTTGGTAGAACCTGAACCATGGCACACCTTGCCAAAACATAAAGTAACACATGTTTTCAGCTACTGGAAACATAACATTTGTGCATCCGAAGAAATTATTTTAGTGAAGCTTTTGTCTTATATCAATCTTTTCCCTCTACACCTCCAGAACACCATTTTTCTGGTCATACAAAGTCATTCTCCCAAGAAAGCAATCAGAGTTGTAGGCTAGTAGCAAGTATAAGCAAGCAAACTTAAAAATTGTCCAAAAGACATTTCCACTTTCAGGGTGTTTAGGAAGTTAGATGGAACAAAAGATGAGAGCCAACTTTTCTCCTGAACCATGACACACCTTGCCAAAACATAAAGTAACACATGTTTTCAGCTACTGGAAACATAATATTCGTGCATCCGAAGAAATTATTTTAGTGAAGCTTTTGTCTCATATCAATCTTTTCCCTCTACACCTCCAGAACACCATTTTTCTGGTCATCCAAAGTCATTCTCCCAAGAAAGCAATCAGAGTTGTAGGCTAGTAGCAAGTATAAGCAAGCAAACTTAAAAATTGTCCAAAAGACATTTCCACTTTCAGGGTGTTTAGGAAGTAAAATGAAACAAAAGATGAGAGCCAACTTTTCTTTAGAGTGGTTCCAGGAAAAATATCTATATATATATAAACAGAGCATTCAATCATTTGATGTGTAGTTAAGAATACCTGGTAAATGGGACATGTCCTCTCATAGTTATGTACATGGCCATAAATGGCTATGTCAACCTTGTACTTCTGCCAAAGTTTCTGAAGACTCTCCATCCCCATTGGTTCCTCGAAGGATCCTTCATCAGCATACCAATCAGCAGAAGAATAACCCAATACTCGATGCGCAAGGAAGATCAGCCACGGTTGTTTTTGTCTATCAACGGATGCCAGACAGTGCTGAATGAAGTTAAATTGCTCCGTTCCCTCTCTCCAATCGTGTTCTGTATCAGCTATGCAGAATCGAAACATGCCATAATCAGTGGAATACCTGGCATCAACGAATGCCAGACACTTGAGCCAGTAGTTCCTTGTAAATCTAGAAACGAAGGAAATTTGGTGGAATGTGCACTGAGGTTGGACGCTTATTAATTTTACATATAAATCATTTCAAAATTAATTTTCTATGGCCAAGAAGAAAATCTGTGGACACAACAAGCATGAGCAAGAGTGTGAAGTAGTTTTTAAAGATATTAAATAGGGTAAAATACAGTGACACCCCTTATATAATTCTGAAATCACACTGTCACCTCTTTATTATCCAAAATCACCCTGACCTCCCTTGTCAGAGAACTCAGTTAAATGACATGATAAAATGATCATAATATCCCACCCTCCCATACACTTTTGCAGCCCTTTTCTTTCTTCTCTCTCTATTTTTCTCTTCATTAATATGACACAACTCACCTTCTGAACTTGAACCACCATTCCCACTACCTCACAACTCCATCATGGACCATTCTCTTTATTCTTCTCTCTCTTCCCTCTTTCTTATATTTGTCCTAAAACAGGCAAACGAACAATTGGTGTAGCCATTCGTCTAAACCAGACTAGTCATCCATCTCATCTGCAAGCATGATTGCCGACAATTGCTCTACTGATTTTCTGTCAGCAATGATTGTCAGCATCCCATCCACAGTCACCTTCTTCTCATCTGCAACTGTGTTTGTCACAGCCGCGTAGCCTTATCATCCACCAACAGCGCAACCCAACGCAGCCCCAATGAGGATTTCCGCAGTCGTCCACGCAATCACAGTGAACCCATCGTCCATGGAAGCTCATTGTCCACCATGAGCCACAGACCCACCATCTCTCTCTTCTTTACCATATTCTCTGTAAATCACCGAAATAAGGTTTGATTTATATGTATGATTTTGTAGGTTCTGGTTAAATTGTGTATAATTCGGTTCATTTTGGGTGGTTGGGATGGGGATAGGACTGGGTTTGGAGCAGTGGGAGTTGAAGAGTGTGGAATTGTGGGTATGGAGGGGCTGGTGGTTTGGGTTGTGGATGGTTGAACTATGGGCGTGGAGGTGTCGTGGTGGGTTAAGGTGGTTTCCGATGGAGGAAGGGGCTAGTGAAGGCCATGAGTTTTGAAGATGCTTGAAGGACCTCCTTCACATGCCTTTGCCATAACAATGCACCACTCTGTTTCACATTGTATAATTTTCATGATACACTTTCAACAATAATTTAAGTGTTCTTTCATTTTTCTTTGCCAATTTATTGTTTGATAAAATGTATGAACCGCAAAATGTCTTTGTTTTTATTATAGTCTACATGATCATTTACATTCAATTCAAGCTGTAAGTATGCTTTCCCTACCTATTAGCCTTCAATTTAACCCTTTAAACCCTAAATTACTCACTGTTAAGGCTGTCAAATAACCTCTATTTTCAAAATTCATCCATGTCCTACATCACCAGGGGTCCTATTTCTGCTGTTTGGCAACATGTATCTTAGGGAAAATTATACTAGCATTATCAATTAGACCAAATTGGCTGACTATTTCTATCAAAAACTCTAACCGACGTTATCAATTGGGCCAAAATGACACAAAGTTCAAAATTAAGGGTCAAAACCGTGTCAACTAAAAGTCTAGAGAGCAAAATAACACAAGCAGCAAAATGCAAGGACTACCCGTGTAATTTGCCCTTTATGATAAGAGATGGGCCATAAATTTGACAGTTTGCGTCAGTATGTGTCTCCAGATGCAAAGGAAGCCTTCATATCCTTACTCAACAATCAATTTCCAACTTGAACCAAAAAAGGGGAAAAATAATCATTGTCCTACAACCAGGGCAAACAACAAGAAACACTATTGCAAGTCCAAAACACAAGTCAGCCAGATGAGGACATAAATAAAGCTATCAAGGGCCTTGACAAAGTATATTAATGTGCAAAATAAACATTCCTTATAGACAGTATTAGTCTCAGCACAGACATTGACCTCCATTCTTCTTTAATTAAATAAAATTTCTGTCACCCATTAGCGAATTAGTTGATAATGTTATGTGGCCAGCAGAACCAATTAACAATCTTGGTGTTGGCAAAAGTATTTCCCCTTAAAATATGTACAGTGCCTCAGGAAGAGAGAACAGGGAGGTGTGTGTCTGGCAAAAGTAATTCATTCCCTCCAAACTCAGAAACCACTCGCTGTGACACCTCCCGATTTATTTTCACATTTCTCTGCCCAACCATTTCTTAACCTACCCATTTTCTCTCAACCTTTAACACAATTCTCTGCCTATGGAGACAATCCTTTTAACAGCTCACCTTCCACAACGACTTCAAGAGTGACAACACTCATCGTCACTAAAACAAAAACTGAACTTGCTTGGAGTGGAATGTTATCAAAATCACATTTCTTTTCATGGCATGGCATATTGAATCCTGTTGTGCTATTTATTGATATGCTATGTCAGAATTCAAAACTTATCCAGACTATTGAACTCAACAATTCATCAACTATGAAACACAAATACTCCAAAATAGGTTGCATACGAGTATCGGAAACGTATACGTGTCTGATACGCCGGGATACGGCCAGAAAGTATCCCTTTTTTTTCTTTTTTTTAAATTTTAGATACGGTTCGGATACACATGGATACATGGGAGATACGTTCCGCATACTTTTGGGATATGACAGGGTAGAAAACATAATTTGAAAACTTTTTTGTGGGTTAAACCATAAATAAAAGAAGTTAAATTGAAATAAAATCAGATCCTCAAATTGACATACACGCATGAACTAAATTCAACAAAAACAGTGAGAAGAAAAACCCTAAGCTCAAATTGACAAATCAAAGCTCGTTCCTTCTGTCTCGATTGACAAATAGCAGAAGTATTGAAGCAAAAATCTGGTTCCTTCTTCTTGATCAACCATAGTGACAACAACAGCCTCTCTCTCTCTCTCTCTCTCTCTCTCTCTTGTTTTCTCTTTCTCTATCTCTCTCACTCTTCTCTCTGTCTCTCGCTCTCATCGTTCCGTCTATTTGCCTCTCTCACTCCTCTCTTGCTCTCTCACGTTTCTTCTCTATCGATCTTATTCTTTTTTTTTTCCCCTTACTATTAGGCTGCTTTATTTAATTTTCTTTTCACTTTTTTTTTGGTTTCCTCTCTTGTGTTTTAATCTTATCCCACACTTAATTTATTAATTTGTTTTAGGTTTTATTTTCATGCATATTACATTATTAAAATTATAAAAAAATAATAATTTTTTTTACGAACGTATTCCCTCCGTAACCCTACTTTTTTCAGATTTTAGCGTATCATATCCGTATCGTAACATATCCATATCCATGCTTCCTAGTTCATCAAAAGCATTATTCTTTGAGCTAAATGCTCTCTAAATTTGAAGGAACCCAGAGCAAGAAGAAAAGGAAAAAGGATGTACTAGAGAGTTTTTCCTAGGAGCAAATACTTTCTATGCCTAAGCATACAGGTCTTTTGTTCTTTCCCTCAATAAAAAGAAATCAAGCAGCAGACCCACAAATTGATACATGGTGACCTCCATTCACGTCGACATAAAGAAATGTTACATCAAAAGTGTCCAAAACTAACAGAAACCCATAATGATATGAGTGGATGCTAGTGACAACGATAAATGACATGGGATATTAATAGAACAACTAATCAACTACACATTATGGATGTCTTGTTCTTGTTTCTATATATGCAACCTACAAAGGTGTGGCATTCTTAAATGAACCTAGATATGTTCTTATTACATATATAGGTTCTAGTGCCCTTTTTTCTTACTGAAATTTATTTCTTTAGAATGTGAATAAATGACAAATATGTACATGGAAAACAATAAATTAATAGATATCCATCTTGGTAGAACACATATTTAGAAAACAAAAAGTAGGTAAAAACCATTAAAATCATATTTAAGAGCATTAAACAATTTGAATGTTCTATGAAGGAAAATTCCTTCAAAAGGTTCTATAAGTGACCAGGCTGGACTAGACATGGAGTCTAGCAATTAATCAATGTTCTATAATGTTGTTTACATGAATGATATACCTTTATGTCTTCTTTCTCTAGGAGTTGAATTTTTGTTTTCTCTAGCACAACAAAATCAGGAGCAGAAATTGTAACACTGAGAGGGTTGTTTCCTTTATTCTGAATCAGAAGTGAAAGCTCTGGAGAATCTGGAAGATTGAAAACCAACACCCATAACTTCTAATGCCAAATGAAATCAACCGAGTAAAGGAAAAAATTTCAAAAGAAATTGAGAGATATTCCAGTGTAATGCAGCCAGCCACAAAATACGATGGATATTTTTATAATTTACATATATATGAACCAATCTGGTTATCTAATGATTAATGTGTAATAATGACATCATGTGTAAAATACTCTTGAGTTTACTTTGAAATATATCGCTCTCAGTTACTTCTTTAGAAGGTAGAGAAAACATTTAGGCTCCCTTTGGATTTATGAATTTGAAATGAATGCATTTGACATCACCAATTTGAAGAGTGTTGTAGCCTTTAAGTTAATGTAGTATTTTAGATTTAGAAATAAAGAACGGATTGGAGAAGCTTTATAATGGTGGATTTCAAATAACTTTATAAATTAGTTATTTGAAATCCTTCATACAATATTCTACTTGTACAAGAATCTTAACAAAATTCATGAAACATACCTCTATTCAATCCTCCATTTTAGAGTAGTCATCTACCTTCAATAACTAATATTTTTATAATTTTACAAAATTTAACCTCAAATCCCTTCATTTGAAATATGCCCATCCAAAAGGAGCATTAAAGCATAAATGATTCAATTCTCTCTTTACATTTGTCAAGTTTTGCTCTCCCTTCCTCTGACCCCAACAAGCTTTCCTTGGTCGAAAAAGATTTATTCCATCTTTCAAAAAGTGTAATTATTTGGCATCCTCCAGATCACCACCATTTCCTACTTCTTTCCATTAACCCCAATGTGATCACAAAGGAATATAAATCAGTGCAATGGATCAGATAAACCAAATGGAGAAGTAGAATTAATCTAACTGAATCCCTATAAATGGAATAAAAGTATTGCAACCTTAGCTCAATTTAGACTTGCAATATAAAAAGAACTCCGAAATGATGGAATTTAGTTCAAATGCATAGTTAATTAAATAATAAAGAAACATATTGGATGAGAGAATGAATAATAATAAGATGACAATACCATTTCCTGGAACTCTCAAACATGCTACCAGCTTGTTCTTATCATCCTTGCAGCTTTTAGATACATCACATTCTTCGCCGCGAGAGCGCTCCTTCACCGGTACCTCTTTGGTCGGCCCCGATTTCTCTCTCTTGTCACCCTCCACCACAGAACCATCCTCACCCTTTTTCTCACTTTGATCTTCTTTTGATCCATTTTGTTTTTTTTCAATTGAATTTTGATCATTCAACTCATTATTCTGAATAGCCTCTTTTGATCCACCCACTTGAGCTTTGTCATTCTTTACTTGGTCAACTTTCTTATAATCCACATCTGTCTCCAACCTACCAGTTTTCTCATCTGATTTGTTATTTTTGTTCAAAGTTAAGGGATTTTTTGGATCTAAACCAGTATTTGCAGTTGCTTTTACCTAAATTTCAAAACCCAAAATCAATAATAATAAAAACAAACAATACATCTATTGAAATTGAAAAAAAATGTAATCTTTAATCTTCATCATTTACCTCCAAATTGGTAGTGGCACAGACAATCAGGATTAGGGTCCAAGAAAGACGCAGCAGAAGCAAATAATTTAGCTCCATCTTTTCACAGAAACCCAATTATTTTAGATATATTTGGAAGCAGAGATAGGTATTTTGAATTCAATGGGCATGAGATTACTAACCTGGAGTGTTAATAAAACTTGTTGACTTGTAGATTCGCACTGACAGTAGAGATTGACAACAGAGGTGCACAAATCTCAAATAAAGGTTTATGTAATGTATGTATCAGTAGAGAGAGAGAGAGAGAGAGAGAGCTCTGACGAAAGAGAGGAAGGAAACATGAAAGAGTGGACTCCGGTCAAATTAGGGTGAGAATTTTCATATGTTAAACACCACACACCAATTGTACATTTTGTAATTCCAAGTTGTAACTTTTTTTTTTTATTCTTTCTTTTTTAAAGAAAAAATTGATAGCATAGCACAAATATTGAAATTTAAAATTAATTACTAGAATATGTGAATTCAAATTTAAGGGGTATACCTCTCCATAAGATCTCATATAAAAATATGTTTGTCTTCCTAATTGGGTTGAGTTTAACCTCTTGTCCAATTTATGAGTCATGTTGGATTCCATTACTTGGACTGTGGTCGGAGTGAAGTTTGTTTAATGCCAGAATTTTGGTCTATATTGTCCTATCACATGACATTTTAGCCCAAAGTCGTATCACATTACATAGGAGCCATACACTAAGCGAAATTTGACCAATGTCATAATCTCGATTTGTACTGTCTTGCTACGTGATACTTTAATACCTGATATCATGTCGCATAACCAAGTCGTACTTAAAAATATGCTCTCACAAATTTTGAATCTATTGGTAACTGTGACAAAACAAAAGCTAAAGATAAATGTTGCACAAGAGTCATTTTCTAATAAAGAGTGAAATATATTTTTATATAAACACTTCTTGGTAACAAATATCCTAAGCCAAAAGATTAAAAAAAAAAAAATACAATACACTTTTCATTACTTTTAAAATAGTATTCATTGAATTTTTTTTAAAAATTTACACAAAATTTAATATTACAATAGTCTATAGCACTCATTAGAATTTCTCTTAAATTAATTTTCACATGTAGAATCTAAACATACAGGATTGGAAACATAATTAATCAAAAAAAATCCAAATTTAGAAAGAAAAATAGAAAGAGACTGTAAGACCTACATGATGAAAATATGCTAATAACCATTAGTGTGTTCTCTAGTACATAAATGCTTTGCTCTAAAATTTGATAAAATTGATTTTACTAGACTTGTTTTTCTTTTTTGTTTTTGTTTTTGTTTTTTTTCCGTGAACTTTGAGGATGGAACATGCTTAGCTGCTGTGGATGGCCTAGAATAAAGCAATATATATACCATATTAGAGTCTCACAATGGTAGTTTATGTTTATCTGAGATACTTATCAGCTTGCTTGTTTTCATTTTTCAGAAAATTATACTTTCTTATTTTTCGTATTTTTTTGTTTTTATTGAATTTTTTTAATATTTTAAGGCAATTTTTTACTTTTTAGACACACCTAACATAACACCTAAAAAGTAAAAAAATTATAAAAAAAATCTTTTAAAAATTCACTAAATACCAAAAATACAAAAAAAAAATACAAAAATTCAGTACATTTTTTGTATTTTTATGTATTTATTAATTTTTTAAAATATTTTTTCATAAATTTTTTACTTTTTAGATACATCTAACTAAGATGCATCTAAAAAAGTAAAAAGAAAATGTAAAAAATTTAAAAAAATATTCACTAAAAACAAAAGAATACGAAAATTAAAAAACTAAATTTCCAAAAAACTTAATCCAGAAAACTCAAACCAAACACACTGTATAATTTTTTATTTTGAAAACTTGTGTAAGATTGTGTTGATGTAGATTATGTCCACAGTTTATTTGGTAAAAATAATTTTAATAACTTGGTTATCCAAAAATTAAAGAAAATATACAAGTCAAAATTGATTATCTGAAATAGTTTATTGTTCAAAATTGATGATCAATGAAAGATACATGGAATGAGCCACGCTCGCCAGCCCAATTTAATTGTTCGACAATGGCTCACACGCTTTCTCTCTAAAGGGTCCTTATTTAGCCCAACTAAATAGCCCAGTCCCTTTTTAATGTTGAATCTTTTTTTGAGCGAGAGCTGCAAACAATTTTGCCGAGCACTCATCTGTTTACCAAGTTTCCAGCTCCTTAATACTAATCAAGTTCAAGTTTAGCTCAAAATTCAAAATTCAAAAAAAAAACTAATTTTTATATTTTCTAACATATAAATAATATATTTATTCAATTATTTATACACTTTATATTATTTAATATATAAATAATATATTTAGGCTAAGTTTGGGAAGACTAAATAAGTGCACTTTTTGACTTTTTATAAAATATGGGTTGGGTTTGGGTTGGGTTTGAAGTGATGTGTTAGAGAGGTGATGTGACTTAAATAAGATGATGTGATTTAAATATGATAGTGACTTTTTGACTTTTTGGATTTTTTAAGAGTAGCCAAACTAGGCCTTATTCTATTATTTAGGCCTCATTTGAGAACAAGTTTTTTTAGTAATTTTTTTAAATTTTTAGCTAAAATATAATGTAAAAAAACTAGTATGTTTGGGATGACTTTTTAATTTTTTACGAAAAGATGTGCAAAAAATAGAAAAAAAAGATAATCTTTAACTTTTTAGTATAGGTTGTTAGTTTTTTTAATAACTTTTTGACTTTTAGACTAAAAATTAATGTTGCCAAACGAGACCTTAAATAGATGATAAACAAGTCGAGCTTATTCAAGTTTCAACTTGACTTGTTTAATAAACAAATCTAAAAGTTTAGCTCTGTAAGAGGGGCTAATTTGAGCCCACTAATTTATTTAGGCCCAATAGCCCAAGATTAGTGGGCCCGAATTTATCGCAAGTCCAAGAATCGGTGGGCCCAGATTTATCGCCATCAAACGGATTGAATCGCTGTAAGCCTCGAAAGGGTTCAGGTCCACGAACCTAGAGACTTACTCGGGCCCGGACTCGAAAGGGTATTAAGCAAGCCTAGAGATCCGAGGCACTCGGACTCGAAAGGATTCGGACCCACGAATCTAGAGATCCGAAGTACTTGGCTTCGAACGGATTCAGACGCAATCTAGAAGTCGCTCCGTTAATGAGTCCCAGAACACTTGCGGGCTCGGAGCTTTCCGGGATCTACGCACCAGAACCATGGCCGTAATGGAGTTCGAACAAAGGACCCGATCCCGAGGACGGTGAGTGCAGATAAATTCACTCTTCGGTTACACTAGCCTATACCCGGGTCGAGGTGGCACGACCCCGGGGGGTCCATGAGACTCGGCAATATTTTGCGGCAGGACGTCCTCTGGGACTACCCCTGACCCTTTGGGATGATTGGGGATCATTGGTTAGGTGTGGCTAAGAAGAAGGGTTCGCCGAGGGAGTGATCTCCTCTTCGGGGTTTTCTCATCCTCGGAGAAGTCACCGGGAATTTTTAGATTTTTCTTATCTCTTCATACCTCTTCATACTCTTCTTATAGATTTTAATCTAGATGATTCAAACCGTTTATCTTGTAAACTCCATAATAAAAATTATCTATGCAAAAAATCAATTTCATCAGAATATTATAAATACAAAAATAAATTGTATTTTATTTTATAAAATGAATGGTAAACATAATTAAATTTAAACCATTTATTTTATAAAACAAATTCGATTTGTTCTTATGTTTATAGTTGTTCAATGAAGTTAATTTCTTGCATGGATGATCTTTATTGCGGGACCTACAAGATAGATGTTCGGATCATCAGTGTGTGTCCAAATTAAAATCCATAAAAGAAGTATGAAGAGATGAGGAATGAAGGGGAACTTTTTTTTTTTTTGTTTTTTTATCAAAGGTATGCCATTTAATGCACAAAGTTGTTTTAGAGCCAAAGGTAAGTTAGCACCTCAATACGTCGGACCATATGAAATCATTGAGAAACTGAATCCAGTGGCGTACCT